GGGTAGCAATCGATCTATTGGGGATCGACTTATCGCGTCTAGTGAAGACGCGATAAAATCGATCCCCGATGCCTCTGCCGTCGACTCCGGAAATCCACCGCGGCAAGAGGTGGAAGCGGAGTCGATGGTGGCGCGGCAGCGGTTGACTTGCCGCCGTCCTCACAGCCAGATAAGTCGACCTAAAATACGCAACTGCAGCTACGCTATTCACGTAGCTGAAGTTGCGTATCTTAGGTCGACCCCCACCCCCCGTAGTGTAGACCTAGCCTCAGTGTTTAAGAAATAAACAATAGTTTTAAATTTCCACCTACATAAGTTTTTCCTGGAGTTTCAAAAACACAAGCAGAAATTTTTCCTTTGGAAAGGAGAGGGGTTGGCGTGGCCACTTAACAAGCTAGATTTAAGGCTCTGATAACACACCCTACATTCCTTTTTACAATTATGCTTCTATTTAATACATGGAAATTTTACATGATTTGTCTTCTTGATGTTTGCTTGTTCTTGGGAAAGAGAAGCAGAAACATTCTGGGATGTCTATCATTAGTTTTAACATTCTGTAACCTAACTAGTTAAACATATGTTTTGTTGTATTTCTAAGCATCTTGGCTATAACATAGTGGCAGGTATATCTTAATGTTCAGTAAAGGCACAAACAAGTTTGTTGAAGCTAGACAAATGCAGACTGGAAATGAGATGTACATTTTTAACAGTGAAGGTAATTAACCATTGGAACAACTTACCAGTGGATGTAGTGGATTCTCCATCACAGGCACTTTTTAAATATGCTCTGTGTTAATTAATTCAGGGAAGTTCTATGGTCTGGGTTATGCAGGAGATCAGACTGAATGACAACAATCATTCTATCTGACCATAGAATCTATGAAAGTGGAGCTGGGCACATAATGCAAAAATAGATAAATAATAAAATAATAATAATAAATCCATGTTTGCTCAAAAATAGGATTTGTTTCAGTTGTACAGGCATCCCTTTGGGGTTTACTTTTGTGAAATTTTGAGGGCTCATAGAAGACCTGCTAAGCTCACCTAGAATGGATATTGGTATATATTATAATGGTATATTTATCCCTTTCCCCAATTTCTACATATTTCTTGTTTTCTTACATTGTGAGCTTTTCAGGGCATGAATGGTATTTTATTATGTATTTGGAAAGCACCTTGCACATTGCACATGCTACTGTAATCCAAATAATTATCATATGAGAAGTAGCACTGCTAGACATCATGAGGATGGGATCCTTAAAACCAATCTCCAGAGTACTGGTACAAGTGGTATTAAATGAGCTAGATAAGTATGAGACCACAAACCTCTGCAGAGAGGACCATGCACACATTCATGATTACTCTGTGTCAGCAATTGTGGGAATGGCAGAAAATTAAATACCATGTAGTTTGGAGAAAAGAGGAGTGAGGGGGGCCATGATAATAGTTTTCAAGTACATAAAAGTTTGTTACAAGGAGGAGGGTGAAATATTGTTCTCGTTAACGTCTGTGGATTAAGACAAGAAGCAATGCACTTTGTATATTTTCTGTGGGAAGGATCACTGCTTAACACATTAGAAGGACAGGGTTTCCAGAGCTCTGATACAGAGGAAATTACATGATCCTATAATGATCTGACCACACCCTTTGTACCTAGGATCACATATGCATGCACACATGCTTTATGTGAAAGTGACAACGAATTAAAATTAAGGTATGCATCCAGACAATAAATCTTAGAGTAGCCTAACTTTTCTAGGACTGGTTCCTCTGAAGAAGTCGTGTGTAGCCCAGAAAGGTAAAGGCCTAAAATATTACAAATTTACCTAATCTTCTTTTATCTGGTACCTTTCTCTGTGAGACTCAAAGCCCCAGTGGCTTGTTCAAAGCCAGCTCTTGATTATAAGAGTTATGCTCATTCAATCAGGGAACAGAAGCAATATCTGTTACTTAGCATGTGACCAATCACAACTAACATAGCTCAAATTTCAAGCACCAAGTATAGAATACTTGGCTCCAACTGTGATTAATTGAGAGAGGAAAAATATGTGACAAAATTAATTAGCAATCTTTGAATCATGAATAAATATGAGGAAAGAGTATTCTGCTTGCAAATACTCCATAAGATGAGGAGAGAGGCTGCATTGCTAAGAATTATTCGCTCAGCTCTACTTAGGACATTTTGCATTAATTTGAAGCTTATAGGGATCAGAAGGTGAAGAAAGACAATTATTGGATCCAAGGTAGGAAATCCAATTCTGAAATAGAAAGGTGATCATGGTAAGTTGCTTGGGAAAGGGTTAGAACTGATGTAATAAAAACATGCATTACGATGATGGACCAAAAGACTGAAATAGAAAAGAGGATAATAATGACTGAATTAGAGGGGAAAAATGTTAAAAGGAGAGAAATATCTGCTGAATTCAATTGAGATTACCCAGTGCAGTTTAATTCAGTAGATCAGGAAGAAGTCTTGCTGCAGATATATTCTGGTTGGAGGCATAGTCATAGAGTTCATTGAAATCATGATTATGGGAAATGAAGGAAAAACAATGGTTTTAGAGCAGTCACGCTTCATACAGTAATGAAATAGTCTCTGACACTGTCTTCCTGTACGTTACATCTACAATGTATATTGTCTGCACATTGCAAGGAATGCAATATACTGTATATCTTTTAAAATGTCATTAGAATTTCTTTGCAACTGTTCAGAAGTCTAGAGGTCTGGGTAGCAGAAGACAAGATAAGAGTACAATATGCCACCTTAAGTAAAAAGAAAAATATCCGAGTGCTGTATTTTTGCAATTCTAAACCATAAAGTTTTGTCCAATAAATACTCCTTGGTACGTACAACTAAGTAGCTGTGTGATATAAATGGAGACAAGGGGTCCATCTGTAAGAAGGAAAAACTGCAGGCAATAATTTTAAAAACAGAAAGTCTTGCTGTGAAAAAGCAGAACTTATGACTTCATTGCTTCTGAAGAAGGTCCAATTTGGACATGCAGAAGAACAGTATGTTCTCCCCTTGAGAATAAGAGAAAAACACCCACTTTTTGAGAAGAATTCGACTGATTAGTACAACAAATATAGCCATGCCTCATGATACCCTTTGCAATCTCCACAACCTTGAATGAAAAACTCTTGAAATAAAACCCTGTTCGTGCAATGGGGAAATTCTGTTTCCCCTTGCATGGACACAGAGATATCCTTAAACACAGTGGAATCAATGTGATTCCACTGCACAAGGCTTGAGAAGGATATGGTGAACCCACAAAGGAGTGCAAATCCATTGTGTACTTCAGAGTACAGCTCCACATAGGATGCTCTTGTATCCCCCAGATAGCAGGGCTTGGGGCAAGTAGGTGCAGGCCAAGGAAAGAGAGGGGGAAGTCTGGTGGATTCTCCAGTGCATAACTACAACCTCAGGGCCACAGTATCAGTCACAGAGCAGCACTGCTACATGGACAATGAGGAGGATTTCATGCCCCAGTCCCTATGAACTGCCCTCTGACTTCTGGGCTTTAGCTTGGAGGTAGAATTAACCCATTGTCCTTTTCTGATTGCAGGATTATTTTAGTAGGTTCCATCTTTTTAACTGACGATTTCCTCTGAACATTCAAAACACTCCACCATATTTTAGCTACATGACCTCTGTTGATGTTAATGAGAGTAGGGCAACTAACGGTTCTTTGCCCAAAATAATATAAAATATTCCTTCATCTCTGCTGTCCCTAAATAACAGGTTAACTCACTCAGGCACCAGTCACAAATCCCTATATGTAGTTGGACTGAAAATATTAACTTATAAAATGAGAGAAGGAAGTTTTGATGGAATACAAGACCCCGGGCAACATTTTTTTGCTTAGTTCTGTCTTAAAATTAATTGTTACCTTTTAAAACTAGCTTCGTCTCTTATTTCTCTTGAAGCCGCTATTGTTTCCAGCAGTAGGCTGATGAAACAATCAGATGTGGGTGCTGCTTTGGCCTGATGGCTGTGAATGAAAGTTGCTCTCTCCATCCAATCCAACAATTTTTACACCTTTGGGAGGCTGCAGATCACTACCTCCTGGAATAAGAGGTGGGGAGAGTAGAGGTTAGAGGGTTCAGCAATTCCCTTCTCTCTTCCCTGCTCCATAGACACTAAGGAAATGAGACAGTAATGAGAAGGGATCTGACTGCAAATGTTGCCATGTCTATCCAGCTTTTTTTATATCGATGTCATTTACCCTCGGCCCCTCCAGTGCCTCAAGCTGTGGATTGCATGGATAAACTGGGGCTCAGAGAGATCCATGGAGGTAGTGAGCAGTGGAAAGATCCCTCCTGGACTTGAAGTTAACCAGCAACAGTATCAAGGGATTCAACTTTCCCATTCCCGATCATCAGGACAATGTGGTTACATCATCGACAGTAGGGAAGGGCAACCCTATTGTGCAAAGCTAAATGTATAAGGTTAATGATTTTTTTTAAAAGAACAAAATGGCTCCTTTTTTCCAGTGAAGTGGATATGAAATCATTTGGATTATGAAATCTATCATTATACAAGTGAATATTTCATTAAAACTACTTGAGCGAGGCTTTATTATTACTTCTTGTTATTACTCATAATACCTAACACTTAGGGCTTGATCCTATTGATTTTAATAGTAGTTGAGGGCACTCAGCAGCCGGCATGATCAGACCATTACATAACAGCTTCCATCCAAGGCCCTCAGTGCATGGATGTTAATGAATTTAGCCTCACAGCTCTTTAGTGCGGAAAGAATCATCCCCATTTTGCAGATAAGGGAACAGAGAAGGCAGATTCAGATGGCATGCCCAAGGTCACACCAGAAGTCTAGAGGAAAACCAGGAAATAGAGTCCCTCATCTCCTTTATCTTAACCACAAAATCATCCTTCCTGTCTGTTCACATTAACTTCATCTGTCCTATGCCATTTGGAAAAAATCTCTGTTCATGAAGTTGCCTTGATAGCCCACTTTTCTTCATTATATTTATTGCAGGTTGAAACTGGAGATGTGGGGGATGTGTACAAGATTCGGGTCAGCTGTGATGATTTGCCAGGCTTTGAGGGCTGGCATCTGAAGTCCTTTTACATGCAAGAGCTACATACCAAACAAGAAGTGAACTTTGACTGTAACTGCTGGCTCTCTGTTAACAGAGAAGACAGAGAGCTGGTGAAAGAATTCCCTGCAGTGAATGAGAACCAGAAACCTTTACCAGGTAAAAATAGCAAAGGAGACAGGAACAATGAGAACCAGCCTTTGAAAAAGAGCCAGTTCAGCAAATATTACATTTAATCATTCTCTGTGCTCAGTATCTATGGTGGTTCCGCAATGACTCCATTCGCGCATGCGCTGTGACAATGCTGCACATTTTAAAATCTCTCCTAGTTACATGACAAATTGGGTTTAACGTTTGCTAAATCTTGTGCATAACTCTAAGTGTGCAAAACTGGAAAAATCTAATTATGTTAGTAAAAGATAAGACATAATTCAAAGCTGTGGCAGTCAATTTTGGTAGACTTAGTATTGAATTCTTTAGCTTATCATAGCTTGAGTTACTGAAGTGAATATCAGAAATAATCATTACTGTACAATAAAGTTGTGCTGTAATTTCAAGGGCATTTTTGTAATGTGGGAAGGTCCCACTTTTTTCAGAGGGCCTTCCAAAATTGTATCCATAAAATTAAAGAATATAGAGCTTCACATTTCTGCATTATACATGCAAGTCAATTGGTTAAGGGCCTAACTATTATGGTTTCTCTAAACCGAGGCTATGTCTACACTAGCACTTTCATCGGTAAAACTTTTGTTGGTCAGGGGTGTGAAAAAACCACCCCCTTGATCGAAATAAGTTTCACAAACGAAAGTGCCGGTGTGGACAGCACTATGGCCAGAGAGTGTCTCCTGTTGACATAGCTACCCACTGCTCATTGGAGGGTGGTTTAATTATGACGACAGGAGAGCCCTCTCCCATCGGCATAGAGTGGCTACACAGGAGACCGTACAACCGTCCTGCTCCAGTGGTACAGCTATGCCACCTTAAGGTCTGTAGTGTAGACATAGCCTAAATGTTCTAACATGGTTAACAGTTTGCTCCTATCTGAGCATCTGAAAATTACTATGGATCTTAAAGGAAAACGACACTGATTAATTATGACCTCTTATATAGCTAAATATTAGCCAAGTAATAATGTATATTGAAAATTACATATAATTTTTTTTTGGAGTTCATGTTACTATGTCACTATCTCCATAAAGGGTAAATAGGGCTGCAGCCTTATTGATACTTTCCAGAAGAAGGCCTCTCTGACAGTGTAGCCTGGATCAGCGAAATGCAGTCATATGACTGCATTATAAAGACAGAAGACTTTAAAAGGCATGTCAATAGAGTGCCTTCCTCTTTGATGGTTACTTTTTTATTATTATTATCTTGGAGACATTTATTTTTCTGACGGGCAAGAACTGACCTCTCCTGAGTTCCTCCAGAGTCCCACACAATAAAACAGAATGAATTTTTCCAAGTGTACTAGCACAAGAGCCACATAGGGACAATCAAGCTCCCACTGTTGTCAATGAAAAGACTCCCACTGACTTCGGTGAGGGTTGGATCAGGTTCATACAGAAGAACTACTCCCTTTCTGTTCTAATCTCCATGTAACGTGTTCTTTTTGCTGTTATTATTTCTCTGATTTTATTAGAATATCTTTAAATTATATTGCAGTTTTCCTTGAAGCTTACCCTTTCAATTCAATCTGTTTTGTTCAAACAATCTTCTTTCTTTGTATAGTCCACAAGTATATTGTCTCTATACACACTGGTGACCACTGGGGATCAGAAACCTTTGCAAATGTTTATATCACTCTGTATGGCGAAAGAGGGGACACAGGTGTGAGGAAACTGCACGAATCATTGGTAAAAGGAGGAAAATTTCAAAGGAACAAGGTAAAAAGACACAAATGTTAAGTTTTCTTACAAACTCAAACAATAGTACTGTTTTCTGAATGCCTACCACCAGCTCTTGATTGTAAGAGCAAAATTCTCCTTATAGATCTTTGTAGCAGTATTCTGTTCCAGCTTTATGCCTAGATTTTCCATAGGTGATAATCAGGGTTCTACATTTGCATGTGTAAAGCAGCTTATCTGAGTCATAACCCTTGTGATCATGCCTCTCAACTTTTTATGTCCCAAATGTGGGATGCAGTGTGTGACAAAGAACCAAAATTAGTATCATGAAAATGATTCATGCAGGAAACTGACATTGCTGTGAGATTCATTCCTTTAATGTAAATAGCAGTTTTGATAATCATATCTTAAATATTATTTCTGTTGATAATTTTCAGCAACAAAAGTGAGGGGGCACCAAATTTCTTTGCAACATAGTAGCTTTTGGGACTAAAACAAGTGACATTCCCTGAAAGAAGAGATATTTAATGAATAACCTCAGATGAGAAATTTTACTTAAAGAAGAGAATGCACTGACAGAGTTTAAAAATAAGATAATCCTTTTTCATACTTACTCATCACCAAGCTGTAGTATTCTTAAGAAAGCAGAGAGTCTTAGATTTCTGTGAAATTATTTCATTTAACAATCATATCAACAACATAAAGGATGAAACTAGATTCAATGTCTAACCTAGAGAACCCCCTAACCCAGGGATCGGCAACCTTTGGCACGTAGTGGGCCGGTTTGTTTACGTGCCGTGTCCGCAGTTTCGGCCAATCGCGGCTCCCACTGCCCGCGATTCGCCGCTCCAGGCCAATGGGGGCTGCAGGAAGCGGCGCGGGGCGAGGGATATGCTGGCCACCTATCAGTAGCAATTTACCTGACCATCGGTACTGTCCCTCAGGGAGACCAGAGTTTCACATCCTCCCTCTCCCCATCCTCCACCCCCGCAGGAGGAAATGTTTGAGGACCACGAGGCTAGGGTAGATGAAGAAGCCATGCTTGAGACTCCCATGAGTCATGCAAGGCTACTACTCCGCTGCTTCCAGTAGGGACATCTTGGACAGGCAGGTGACAGTCCCTTTGCACGTAAAGAATGCCCTAAACTGGTGGAAAGAACAGCTCAACATCTGTGCAGATATCACTTTCTGTCACCCAACCCCAGGAATGACGCTAACTACTGACACATCCCTGTTAGGATAAGGGAGCCCACCTACACACCCTCACAGTTCAGGGCAAATGGACAGCCCACGAAGCTAGCCTCCACATCAACCTGTTGGGGCTCAGGATAGTCAGGAACAATTGCCTCCATTTCCTGCCCCTCGTCAGGAGCAAGGCAATCAGGGTAATGATGGACAAAGTAACCTACATGTTCTACATTAACAAGCAGGGAGGAGCAAGATCCCGCTCCTTGGGTACTGAAGCCACAAAGCTCAGGAACTGGTGTATAGCCCACCACATCCAGATTTCAGTGGTCTAACTCCCAGGCATACAGAACACCACAGCCAGAGATTTCTCCCAATACTACGAATGGGACCTGGACCCCCAGGTTCTTCAAAGCATGTTACAGAAATAGGGACTGCCAGATATCAATCTTTTATGCCATTTCAGAGAAAAGGAAGTGCCTTCTCTTCTGTTCAAGGGGAGGATCTATGTCACCACTCCCAGGGGACGTCTTCCTTCTATCGTGAAAAAAGAGTCTGTTCTATGACTTTCCCCCACCACCGCTAATTCTAAGGAGGCTGAATGAGATCAGGCAGGACAAGGCCAGAGTTCTTCTCATAGCATATACCTGGCCAAGACAAGCTTGGTACCCTTACCTGCTTCAACTCAGTGTCCAACCATCAATCAAATTCCCGACCATATCTCAGGGTGTGGCTCCTTGATGGCTCTGTGGATGTAAAGCAGATGTTATTAAACAGTAGAAAAGCATCAACCCGCACTACCTACCTACCAAAATGGAAGAGATTTGTCCATTGGTTTGGTTGTTGCTACCTCTAGCCTGAGTTGGTTCCCCTTTCTCTCATCCTAGATTAGCTGCTGGATCTGTCATCTGGGTTATTCATCAGATCAGTCAAGGTACACCTGGCCACAGTATCAGCCTTTCATCCCCCAGTCAAGGGATTCTTCATTTTTGCTCACCTGATATCATCCAGATTTATTAAGTGTCTGGGTAATCTCTTCCCCCACATTAGACCCTGACCCCGTTTTGGGATCTCAACCTGGTTCTCAACCACCTCATGGAAGCTCCATTCAAACCAATGGTGATCTGCTCCCTACTACATTTTTCAATGAACACGGCCTTCTTAGTTACCATCATGTCAGCCCCTAGGGTCAGGGAGATTGGAGCCTTGATGGCAGATTCCCCCTGCCCCCCTTACAATGTTCTTTATGGCAAGGTCATTAAAGTTCCACATCCTAAGGTCCTACCAAAGGATTTTCATCCTAACTATTATATCCATCTACCAGTATTTTTCCCAAAACCTCAGAGTTCTCAGCAGGAATCCCATTTCCACATTTTGGACATTAGAAGGTACTTCGCCTTCCACCTAGGTAGGAATAAGCAGTTTAGGAGATCGCCTAGACGCTTCTTCTCCTTTGCAGATAGATCTAAGGGGAATCCTATCTCTGCTCAGAGACTTTTTAAATGACTATCGGGTTGTATCTCTGCCTTTTATGACTCTGTAGGTGCTCAGCTCCCGCCCCCTCAGGAGGTGAGAGCACATTCAGCCAGATCATAGGCCCCATCTGCTGCATTTTTTGAAGACTGTTCCAATATCTGAGATATGTAGAGCCACTACTTGGATTTCAATCCATACAGTTTCAAAGCATTAAACCCTGCTTCATGCCATCAGATCTGATGCAGCTTCAGTTCTGGACCCTGTTCCGAAGCTCCCTCCTCCTCCTCCTCGGGATACTGCTCAGAAGTCAAGTGAAGTGGGGACACTATTCGAAGAAGAAGGAAGAGTTACTCACCCCATCTGGTTCTTAATTAAGGCAATACAGGGAAAAATCTGTGCATGAAGGACGAGTTACTCACCCTATGCAGTAACTGTAGTTCTTCGAGATATGTGTCCCCATGGGTGCTCTATTACCCGTCCTTCCCCTCTGGTTTGGTTGTTCCCTAGGAGAAGCCTAGGCAGAGAAGAAACTGAGGGTGGTTTGCCCACGCACTCATTTATAGCCTTGGTGTCTGCCATGAGGAGGCATAGGGCGCATTCCTGGGCCGAACTGACACTGCTAGCCAGGGGCGGATTAGGGTTTTGTGGGGGGCCTCTAGATCAGAGCGAGTGGGGGCCCCTCCGCACCCCTTCTGCCTGCAGTTACTCCCCTCCCCCAGCATGGGGTCGAGGCGCGGGGGCTTTCCCCACTCAGGTCGCCTGCCCTCTCCCCCCCGCTAGTGCCGGTCGGAGCGTGGGAGCGCCCATTTTCTGGACCCCACCCAATTAGCTGGGGCCCCTGGTAATGGGCCCCATTGGCCTAGTGGCTAATCTGCCACTGCTGCTAGCTAGAAATCTCCAATCAAGGGTTTAAGAGGCACATGCACACCTGAAGTGGTGCACCGATAGGGGGACACATCTCGAAAAACTACAGTTACTGCACAGGGTGAGTAACTTGTCCTTCATGCACAGATTTTTCCCTGTATTGCCTTAATTAAGAACCAGTTACTTAATTGTACTTGCAATCTGGCTGTCAAGTCTGGAATTCTAGTAAATGGATGTTTTATCACCTGAAAGCATTTTTAATATTAGTGAAAGATAAACTGCTTTTGTGTTACTTTTATACAAAAATAGCTATAACGTTCTATAGCACTTTGCTAACCACAGAGTTGTTCTTCACAGAACAGTTTGCTAATATATCCATTCTAAGTGCCTTGTAGTTTTATTTATTAAGATCCCATAGTGCATAAATTTATTTTTTTAATTTTTATATGAAACATTGTTATTGTTAAAACTCCAGTTGTTTTCAACTTGATTCAGTACTGAGAGGCTGCAAACATTTCCAGCTAATCAAAACGTATTGACCATTGTTAGCCACACCGGGGCCCACTGGGCCCTCATTTGGGTAGTGTACAAAGCAGATAAGATTGTTATAAAATGAGAAGAATGCATTGCACCAAGCTGTCCTTGAATCATATAGATTTAATGCTGTATTAAATTTCCTCTTTCGACTCCTCTCTCCCCATTGTCCTCTTTTCCTTCTCTTTCCCTTTACTTCTTTCCTTTCTCTTCCTTCCCCATTGCTCTGTCCATTCTGTTCCTCTTCTGTCTTTGTCTTTCCCATCCTTCTCGTTCATCTCTGCTTGTGTCTCTTTCTCTCTCCTACTTCTCCCATCTGCTCCTTTTCAGACTTCTTTTCCCTCCTTTCTTCTCATGTTGTACAGAAAACAAAAGACAGGCTTCTCTGCTTTCTAAGAGAGAATTCAGGATTATAGAAAACATTGTCTCCCAATGAATAAGCTTTTTCCAGAATGTTAACTTCCCTCTGGAACCCCACTAATGCATATTTGCATAATAGATCCTGGAAGCCAGAAACTCACAATGCGTATATCAGAACCAAGGTCTTCTAGGGATTTTTTAGTATCCAGAAGCACATTGTAGCATAATTTGAAATGACTGATGAAATGTCCCATCTAAGCCAAAGATCAAATGGGCCTGCAGTCATTACTAATGTTGGGCCCGAGCCACAATGTTTGGAATCTAATCAAGAACAGAACTATGCTGTTCAGAGAGGGGATTTCCTTTTTAACCTTTATAGATATAAGCCAGTCATGAAGTTCAGATCCTGATCCTGATCTAGAACCAGGTCCAAGTTTCCTCTGAAGTTCAAGCATATTCAGATCCAAGCTTTTGGTTTAAGTTCATCTCTAGTTATTACATTTTGCATTTACGCTTTGTGTGTGTGTGTGTTTATATATTTAAAGAACAAGTATTCAATTTTTGCTGCTTTTCAAAGTATATCTCCTTTTTGCAGGTGGATTCATTTTTAATAGAGGCAGTTTCTCTGAGCCATTTGCAAAAGGTAGTTGTAGAACATGATGGAGAAGGATATGGGGCTGGAATGTACCTCAAGATGATAACAATCAAGGAATCAGAGGACTCAGATAAAGAGTGGATCTTTCCATTTTGGAACTGGCTTGATACTCATCTAGGAATATGTGAGACTGTTTGTGAGATTATAACAATAGGTAGGTCCTTCTGCAACAAGACTGAAGTCAATGAGAGTTCCACCTGCTTACATCAAGGTCTTTACAATTGCTATAATTTCTTTATTTGGCTATAAACACCACACAAATTTTCAGCATGATTTTACTATAATAGCAAACACACTGGTAAGGTCAGAGATAATATAATCTAATGCTGCATAGTGCACTCTGCATAAAGCAATAGCCCTCTGAATTAAATTTAACATGTTAAAATTAATGATTTAATGGGGGATTAGAAAGTGAGAAGCAGGCCTCATGGGGATAAGTGGCTTAAAGTAGAGTTTTAATGCACTAGTTTTCAGCCTGTTGGGAGCCGATCTCAAGTCTAGGGGAAAGTTAGTTTAGTAGCGTCAGCTTAGTCCTTATCTGTGGGCATTAGTTCACTCCCACAGAGCTACTGCACTGTTCAGTAGAACTGTCGCTCTGTTTGGCTGAAGCCCATCGTTGCAGCAGGATTGCAAGTCAAAACCTAGGTGCATGTGGCAGAAAGGCATTGGGAGGTGCTCACAGCATGATCTCCGGACAGCCTCTCACTTCCAAACAAGAAGTAAAATTCATCAATCGCATTTAAAAATAAGAGGAAAGAAGATTGCTGTAATCAGGTGTTGTATCCTATAAAAATAATGCCAAGAAGATAGATACACCAATGGAAATGAACCTTCCAAGTTAGATCCGTAAGGGGGAAAAAAAGTAGAAAAGCGAGAAGCAATGTGTCTATATCACATACACTTAGAACACACCAGGTAGTTTTCTAGACTCATTAAAGGTAGATTTCTTTGTGTTGTCTTATTTATCATATCACAACATAGGATCATTTAAACATACATAGCATGTTTACATAGGATCGTTTAAACACATTCCAAAATTAAAGGTCCAAATGTAGCAGACCTGTAATTATTCAGAGGGTTTTTAGCATTGCTGTATGAGGATCTGGCTTATGTGGGTTTAGAGCACATATTTTTATAGGTTCACCTCTCAGTGTCATACAACATATTCTTATTTAAGGTCTGATTGCAAGTGGGGATTTCATTGATGCTATTTGCTATATACCAGGTGTTGTTATGCTTCAGACTACCATTGTTTCTAAATGAGATAAGTGAGATAGTGAGTAGGTGACATTGATTACTTCTGTCAAAACAATTAATTAGGGTTATGAAGGAGGCTGCGTATTCTTTAATAATTAGTTCCAAAAAGGATAGTAAAAACAACTTGACATCCAGAAAAAATTCTGTAAATCTAAAGTTTGAAACACAAAAGAACATTAAGGTTAAATTCTTGATGAAAAAATGCAATAAAAGTATTGATGTGTTATTCTTAGTGAACTGTTGCCATAGATACAACGTAACCTGCAAATACAGCTGTGTTTGTGTACTGTAAAGCCTGTGGCCTAATATATTATGCCGTTCTCTCATACTGTCTTCTTTCCTCTTTCTGTTTGATCATTTTTTAAAGGTAAAAGATTGATTTCTAGTCCTCAACTGCCTCAAATCAACATGCAGTCCTCAGGTCTGTGGATAATGGACATCATTGGATCTGACGTCAACACTGAAATGGATCCAATACACCTTTCTTTCATCTTTTATGGAGACCTGAATCACAAAGAGTTGGCACTTCAAATTACAGGAAAAGCAACTCAAATCAAAGTAGTTCAATCTTTCTCTATTACCAGAAAACTTCTAAGAATCATGTACTCAATAATCCTTTTAATTCCTGTAGAAATAGTTTATTTGGGCCAAATTTCCAAAATGATTTCTAAACCTGTCTGTGCAAATTGGCGCAAACCGTCATTTTTGTGTACAAATGACAGGATTTTCACATGCGCAATAGCATTTTCATTAACAAATCCTGCCTGATTTTCACGCATTGTGTGTTTGCATGAGAAAATTCTGTGATTTGCTAGTGCATATGGTTGTGCATGTCAGACTGCAGGCACAGATATACAGGCCAGTTTGAGGCCCTTTTGAAAATGTGGTATTTCATAATTTAATCCACAAATATGATGTATAAAGTCAGAGATACCAAGTTACTTTTCTGGGGTCAGGATATGTTAGGGTAAAATGTCCTTGTCCCTTTTCCTCCCTAAACCTCATCATCTAATTCTTCCTCCCTTCCACTATGTTTCTCCTTCCTAACCGCCTTCTCTCTTCATCCTATATTCACACCCATTCCATTCCCTTGCCTCATTTGCTTTCTATCCCTATCTCTCTTGCCCCTCCTTTCTTTTTCCTTTGCCCAACTCCTTGTTCCCCCATCAGGGTCCTCCTCCCTTATGCCACACTTTCATCCTTTCCCCCCTCTCTTTCTGTCTCCTTTCCCTTTCCTTCCCAACTAATTAAAACATCAACAAACCTTTGAGACTCACATTCAGTCAGTAGGGAGCCTCTCATTACCCCACATCCTCACTTCCTTTTGGGAATTATACTGTCTTCTCTGATAGGAGGGGCTATTCCTGTTCCTATAGTACTTATTGACACTCCACTCTGCTCTGCATGTGCTACAGACACAGTGGGGAGTGGAACAGTAATTAAAATGACCACTGCTGAAGCAGACCCAGAATTGGAGTAGCTCCTACCTTGGCCGTAAAGGAAGGGAAAGAGCCTCTGCTATGGGCATAATCCACAAAGAGGAACTCTTACAGATTTAATTTTAAAAATTTTCGTTCTTGTCTGATGCCCTTTAATGTACACCGATGCTAACAATTTTCCTCGGTGCACCCAACACACCTACCATGGCAACCTAATACTGCTTGGGGGAGCATTTCTTTTTTATTCTGTAGAAGGAAGATTCAAATGAATACTGCTCCTAACCATTTGAACATATCACTTACCCCAATCGGTGTCTCCAAAGCAGAACATTTTGAAGTACCTTATTGGTGGGTTATCAACCAAAAGTATAAAGATTGTTTATGCTGGAGAGCGTTGGTGGCTGCCAGCACACATGTCTTTGATCTGTCAGTAATCACAGGCCTGACTGAAGCTCATGGGTATGTTAGTCACTTTTCATTCAGGTTAAATGAGGGAGCAATTAAATGCCCCTTTGTTCAGAGATAGCTGAAACAATAGAAACCACTGTCCAAGGCATTCAACCTCCTGGGAAGACCTGAGCAAGAACTAATTCAGGGACAATCAGAGGGGTTTCCCTGGGGCTTGTGGGGCTGGGGCATTGATTGGTGGAGCTGTGGGTGTCACAAGCACTCAGGATCAGAAAGCTGGGAAAGCACTGGTGAGTGTGGCGCTGGGAGGAAGCCAAGGGAGAGAGTTTCTTTTGGGCACAGGACTGACTGGAAAGCTGGCTTCGATCTGTGAGCTGACTCCTGGTGTTTGTTTCTACTGTGCTCAGGGCAGCAGGACTTTGTGTACACTCTTTGTAAATAAATAGAATTTGCACCAACGAACTATCTGAATCTATCATCAATTTCTCTTCCTAGTGGAAAAAAACCAGCAAGGCCCCAAATATTGGCTAACTGCTTGGGCCAAGGGGGAACTCTGATTCCCCGGTGCATAATATGAAGGTAGTGCATAGCGCCACACTGAATGAACTGCCTTTTTGGCTGATAGGGATGGTTTAATTTGGGTAGCATAGCAAGTAAGCAATAGTTCTCAAACTGTGGTCTGTGGAGCACTTGCTGGTGATTAATAGAAAGCAGGCACATCATACTTCATGCGCTGCTGCTCCTCCTTGCTCCCAGCTGCTTCTATAGGCACCAGAAGAGCCTGGATATGAGCTGGAAACAAGGGGGAGCAAGTCTGGCTGTCTCCACTAAGGGCCCTTTGCTACATAAAAGGGGTGTGAAAGTGGAGGTGCCCACCTGGATGAAGAGAACGAAGTGGCCAGGCAGCATGTTCAAGGCACCAGATCGCTGGGCAGCAGATGTAAAGAAGGGAAGGAGGGGAGCCAAGGAGGGAGTGCGGGAAGCAGATAGGAAGTAGAGATGAATCCAAGAATAAAAAGAGACAATGTGCTTACCCTGTTGTTCCCTCAAAAGGACAAGAGATTTATTGCCTTTAAATATAGTTACAAATTACATAAGCACTTTCCTAGGGTTACTTATACATGCTGTGGCATGGCCACAGGGATGTTGTGCAATCACTAATGGGAGCTGAGGGGATCTGTTCGATCATGAATCCAAGGGGAAGGGCTCCAGAGGACAATCTGTCTACTAAAATGTGGTTCACGCTATGGAAGAAGTCTGAGAACCCTTTAAAGAAGTGAATTAATGTGTTTCCCTAACTGCGTAGTCTACTCAAAATTAAATTAATTGACTTTAAAATTCACACTTAACTACAGCAGTTGTTTTTACTGAATGTTGTAGGAAACACATTTTTTCCCCATGGGATTCATGGTCTGGTAACTGAAATTTAAAGAACACTTGAGCTTTTCTTTGTATTGTTAGCAAGTTGAGATGAGCCATTTGGTCACTTTCTAATCAATAACATTTGCAAACAGTCCACTGCATCATTGTGAATTATAGTGTCTAATTTTGTTCGGTATGCAATTTTCCCCAGTGACTCTTATGAGAAAAGTCACCAATTCTCTGACATTCAAACCACTAGAGAGCCATTCAGCTCATGCAGTTAGCAAATCAATTTTGTATTGTGTAATAATAAAAAAAAAAGTAACAATTCTAAAACTGCCACAATCTTTTAATCTCTGAGACTTGTTAAATTATTAGATCTGGCACTGCAATAGTGAGACTGCATTTAACTTCTCTTTTTCTCACATAGGATGAACTGGCAGACATTGGCTCAATATACAAGATTCAGATAACTGGCCCACACAGCAAGTTAAATCAGCCTTGGCACTTAGACTTACTGCATATGAAGCACACAGGCACGAACCAGGAGATGTGGTTAGCTTTCAACTGCTCGTTCAAATGTAATGAAGACAAATGTGTGGAACTGCCAGCTCTCTATGCAGACCAGGATCCTTTGCCTGGTAATTTAAGCCCTTTTTCCTCACTGAGGGTCAGGTTCTGTCCTTGGATGCACGTGCGCTTCTCATGTTGATTGCAGTACATGCTATGTGCAGGTTTCCAAGACAAGAAGTTTGTCCTAAGATTGTAATGTGATAAATGTAAAAGCAAGAGCAGGCAACACTTCTTTCCTCTAGAAAGGAAGTCAGTCCAATGAAGTCAGTCTTGGGGCAACCTATGGAACAGCTGACACCAAATTAAACATACCTTGTTGATATAAGATTTCAGTCTCTTTCATATTATAGCAAGCAGACAATAGCATGTGGCATTTAAAAAAAATAGATGTATTGATCCTGCAGAGTAAAATAGAGCATAACAAATCAACTGAATAAATGTATGATGTATTATGTAGTGTATGATATTAACCTATCCTTTCTATAAATAAGGAATTGATTACCTAGAAATGTTTACTTTTTTAGAAATGTCAGATATGCAAAGACCCAATACAAGCCAGTGAAAAGGTTTTAAAAACCTGCCATGGTCAGTTATCATAGAGCTATCCACCAATTTCAATTGCCTTAGTTAGTGTTTTATTGATGTTCATGAGGAATTTACGATATAGAAAATATTACTACAGCCAAAAAACCTGATATTAATTTGCACAAGTTCAGTTTTTCTGCACATTTTTCAAGTAGTAACACAAGCAAATTATTTAGATGTATGGTGTCACAAACATGACAAGATGATGATTACTTCAGAAAATATGGGTAAGAGCAGCCTGTTGCATATTGATAGCTTTCATCCATGGCCATTTAAGAAAAAGCTTCCCATGTATCCAATTCATTAGAATAATGAGAAGTGATAGGGATAGTACAGATCATGTACTGAAACTATTAGCAACAACGAAGAGGTTTATTGACCAAGGCTACAGTAGAGAGGATGTTGTATTGGCTAAGCAGAAATTGCTGGGGAAAAATGGGAAGTCTCTCTGCACCCAGAAAGAGACAATAAAATGCTCCACATGAAAATTTAAAACCCTAAGCAGTTTTTCTTAACCATTTTATCCCAAACAGAACTTGAACAAACTCAGCAAAACACAGTCAAACAAACTCTTTTAATCACTCACTGCATGTTGTTATGCAGAATATTGCATGATTAGGAGTCCCAACCTGTATTCGTTCACCCAAAAACATTGTTCTTCCTAGGTTTTTGATCATCCAGGTTCAAAGTAACAGAAGAAGGTGATACATACACACACACACTACAATCATCAGCATGAATCCTGGGGAAATGACCTCATGCTCTAAGAACAAAACACAGGCGCCTATCCTGAGTAAAAGGATTCCTTTAACCTCCCAGTGGTATTAGGGTTGACTTACTGATTTAAGACCAGCCACAAAAGGGCAATGCTAAATAAAATCAAAATTCAAACACTTATCAAAATTCTTGTGAATACACAAAACACAAAAACAAATTCCCAAATGTGCTCATTTATAACCCCAAGAATGTCTAAAGCAGAAATGATGTCTATGGCGCGTTTATTTTCATTCACTTCTGACTTTTCACTTCCTCGTCTTCTGAGACAAAATAGAGCCCTGTGTGAAAATTCAGATTTTTACTTTGTGAATTTTTCCCAAGCAAAACAAATTTTTGAGTAATTTCCTAAAAATCAGGCACTGCTGTGAATAACACCTCTGTATTAGGAAATTCATATAAGGCCCAGACCTTGTATATGACTTAGGTAGTGTGATTATAGGCCTCATGACCCCCCAACCCAAAGAAAATGTAGCCCTCAATCCTGCATAACCTTCTGCATGTGAATAATTTTATGCATGTGAATAGGCCCGTTGGGCTTATGTGTGTCTTCGAAATCAGAGCCAATGCTGTTCATATTCCGTGTGTATGTGAGTGTGTGCGCGCATGCGCGCTATACATGTGATTTTCTATATGGGAAAGTGTTGTTATTGGGGCAGTGTTTTATATTTCAGGGTCACAGTACTAAATCAATCTAAATTTTCTAACAAACAGGCAGCTTTTCTTTGTATATCAGTTTGCTTACTGGTGACAAAGATATTCTAGAGTTTTATTTGAGTGCAGTCATTCATGGCCTGAAAGAGACAGCAGGACATGGAGATGCCTTTAATAAATCCCTTCATAACACAAGTCCAAATAAAATAAAACACTTTAAAAATAAACAAATCATTGTGTCCCAACCTCTTAGCCCCCCGCAGAGAAGATAAATAGAAAGATCCCTTTAGATAGTAAAGTTAAAGATAAAAGGTAAACCTCAAAATACAAAACCATTTTACTGTCAGCACCAAATGCCTGGTTATAATAAAGGCCATATCAGTATCACCACATCCATTATCAACTCTGATTTTCATGGGAATTTTCCAGAAAAAAAGTATCCTCATCATTTTGATCTTTACTCAGAGGCAGTCTTTCAGTAATATCCAGTCCCTGACCTATCTCCCCCCCCATATACACAGCTAAACCCTCCCTTGCAAAAACAACCAGGAGTCTGGTGGCACCTTAAAGACTAACAGATTTATTTGGGCATAAGCTTTCGTGGGTAAAAACCTCACTTCTTCAGATGCAGAGTGAAAGTTACAGATGCAGGCATTATATACTGACACATGGAGAGCAGGGAGTTACTTCACAAGTGGAGAACCAGTGTTGACAGGGCCAATTCAATCAGGGTGGATGTAGTCCACTCCCAATAATAGATGAGGAGGTGTCAATTCCAGGAGAGGAAAAGCTGCTTCTGTAATGAGCCAGCCACTCCCAGTCCCTATTCAAGCCCAGAATAATGGTGTTAAATTTGCAAATGAATTTTAGTTCTGCTGTTTCTCTTTGAAGTCCATTTCTGAAGTATTTTTGTTCAATGATAGTGACTTTTAAATCTGTAATAGAATGACCAGGGAGATTGAAGTGTTCACTTACTGGCTTATGTATGTTACCATTCCTGATGTCCAATTTGTGTCCATTTATTCTTTTGCGGAGGGACTGTCCGGTTTGGCCAATGTACATGGCAGAGGGGCATTGCTGGCACATGATGGCATATATAACATTAGTGGATGTGCAGGTGAATGAGCCCTTGATGGTGTGGCTGATGTGGTTGGGTCCTCTGATGGTGTTGCCATTAATCTGGGCTTGAATAGGGACTGGGAGTGGCTGGCTCATTACAGAAGCAGCTTTTCCTCAGTATATAATGCCTGCATCTGTAACTTTCACTCTATGCATCTGAAGAAGTGAGGTTTTTACCCACGAAAGCTTATGCCCAAATAAATCTGTTAGTCTTTATGGTGCCACCAGACTCCTGGTTGTTTTTGTAGATACAGACTAACACGGCTACCCCCTGATACTTGCCTCCCTTGCAAAAGAGCAGGGAGACTTACACTTTGTGTTCATGTCTCCTATGTCACCCCACTAGTCTCAACTGGACATGTTGTTTGTTCTGTGTCCAGTCTATCCTATTGATAGTTTCAGTTTCCAATGCAGAGTCATGGTTTCTCCTGTTATGTCCTGATCTGAAGGAATGCCAGCAGCGTTAGGAGTGTAGAGCTCATCCAGTACCTGGGAGGCAAAGCAAGTCTTGGACTGGATTCTCCCAAGAGTCCCACCTTGCCCTGTCTTTCAGCTATAGGACCATTTCCATCTCCTTAACACAGTGCCCCCTCACGTGCAACAGTGGGCAACTCCCAAGTTGCCACAGTACTAGACCAGTAGTTTTTCAACCTTTTTTCATTTTTTTTTTCAAAAATGTCAAATGGAGGTGCGGACCCTTTTGGAAATCTGAGACATAGTCTAAGCTAATGTGTAGTCTATGGAAATCAGTTGTAAGTTTGTAACAGCGATGTTAACTAACCATTGGAAAAATTTACCAAGGATTGTGGTGGATTCTCCTTCACTGGCAATTATTAAATCAAGCTTAGATGTTTTTTTCTAAAAGATCTGCTCTAGGAATTATTTTGGGGAAGTTCTATGGTCTGTTATATAGGAAATCAGTCTAGATAATCACAATGGTCACTTCTGGCCTTGAAATCTATGAATAAAAAATCCTTCTCACCTCATCAAACAAGTGGTCTACTGACTTCAGTAGATCTACTTGCATGAACAAGGTTAGCAGGACTAGGCTCTGGGTGCATCACAACAATGACATATCTTGTTTCTGCTGACCCAGAGAATCCTGCGTCTTAAACCCTAGTTTTTCCAATGGCAGAACAACTTGCTTCCAAAATATCACCTAGGCAGATCATTTGCTTTAAATTGTGTGGGCCAGATCCTCAGTTGGTGCAAATCAATGCAGCTCCATTGACTTCAGTAGAGGTAGGCTGATTTACACCACCTAAGAATATTTAGGCACCTTAAAGAGCGTACACTAGGCCTCAATCTAGCACTTAAGCACCTTCTTCAAGTACATGAGTAGTCAGTTGACGTCAAGTGCTTTGCTGGATCAAGACATAGGCTAATTTTTTTTAAAGTGATGGGGGAGTCCTTGAATACGATAAATAATGCCACACGGAAATAAAAGTTACTTTTCACAAAAGAGGCTTCTCTATGTGCCATCCGCACATAGTTGAATGATGAGGAGAAACAAAGATGTTTCCACCTAACAGAAATGCGTTGCAACATGTATATAAATGTTACCAGTGTGGATATATACAGCCCTTATTACTTGTTAAACTCAGTCAGTATGCAAAATTGGCCTGTAAAACCCTTACTTCAGTGATATGAACTTCTTATATTTTAAAAGGATTAGAAAAATGACTATATGAAATGTCACAATATTTGTATTTAGCCTTTTTTATTATAACACTCAATATGAATAGCACCAGCTTGTGAAAAGAGCTGTAGGAAAAGTTTAAAAATAAATATCTTGCAGAACACTTTTTTTCCCCTCTTTTGCCATCACCTACGCATGAGAATAAACGACAGCTTTAGCTTGTGGTTTCTTAATTTTTCACAGTGTGTTTTTAACAATCACTCTTAAACCTTCTATAAATTTATCATAGGGAATCCAAGAAACTTGCTGTAATGCAGACCTCATGAGCTTCTGGGAATTTTAATACAATTCCTGTATATTCTGTAGCATTCTGGACCTACATTCTGTAGCCTCTCTGATTTCCGCAGCATACTGGTGATGACTTTGGCATGAGTGGGAGCTGAAACTTCTGAGGCAGCCTAAGATGAATAGATCCTGGCAGATCTAGGGACTTTGATTGAAGTTGTGGGTGCTCAGCACCTCTGAAATCAAGCCTTAAACAATAATTGCGATAGGATGTGAGTTCATCAGCCAGCTTACTTGCCCTTCCATACACCAAAGTGTGTGTGTATTGGTTGATTAGCCCACAACCTAAAGTGTGACTATTGCGGTATAAAATGGCTTATTATTTAAAAATAATAATCATGATAATAATAATAATTACAAATATACCACTTCCTCTTCTGAAAGGAATCTGAGTGTCATATTGCAAAAGCTAATAGGTTCTTCTTTAGCTCAAGTTGATGCTTCTAAAGCAGAAGGATCTGAGATAGTTAGTCATTGTTGCCTTTCTGTAGTTCCTAATAGCCTGGGTGTATAGCTGGCCACGGATTTGTTACATTACTTTGCTCTACGGTGTTGTACTATCAGAACTAAAATCATCTTTTTGTTCTGGGTCTGTACATTATTGATTAGCACAATGGTGTTCTGGTCCAAGACTTGGCTTTCTAGGCATAATACAAGTAATAATAATTAATATTCAGATATTGAGCAGAGGAAACAGTTAGCTGCTTCTTCTGTTAAAGGATTCCCCCTGTTCACCCCTTCCAAAACAACTGTAACCATAGTAAGCAGGAGCTAAGGTTGAGATTTTCAAAGCTGAATATGAGGTCTAGTCACACAACTCTCATTGGCATTATTAGTTGTGTGGCTAAATCCCCTTGTTGGCTTTGAAAAACTGGACCTCGGTTTCTCCTCCTGTACCCAAACAAGTTATTGACTCCTCCATTCTTAAATCTCCTCCAACACTACTGTTCAGCTGCAGTGAATAATGACAGCAGCCTCCCCAGCCTCTCGTCAAGGCTCTTCTTCCCTGGCCTGTGCCAGAGAAGGCAGCAATGGCCCCACTTGTTCTTTCAGGCCCCGCCCCGCTTCCACTGTTTGGCTAGGGAGAGCAAGGAAAGTGGTCACAGCTGTGTCTTCAAAGTTCCACTCTCTGGGCAGGGCTGACAGACACAGGACTTCCTTCCCATAACCCCATACAGTTGCTCAGCAGAACAGTATAATCCCCTTCTGGCCAATTACTAGTTCACTACCAGAGCCTGGACTGGTTTTGAAGACCCATCCTCATCTGTCATGCAGCAGAAAGGGAAGGGAATATTTTATTTAAAGGGAAAAGCTGAAGTTGAAAGGATTTAAATGTTAATTGATCATTTCTATTATTTTATATCAGAGAGCGTTAACTTTAGTGTGAGTGTGTTGTGGTCTGATGCATGAACAAGCTTGATACTCTTGATGTGTTTATTCACTGGGGGATAATTAATGAGTTGAAAGTGTCTTAAGACAATCAGATCACAGCTTTCATCTAAGCCATTTTATGACTGTGCAGTCCTTGCTGCAGTGCAGGATGAAAATGGTACACACACAAAAATACAAATGGAGCAAATAGGAATATAGAGCCTTAGGGATTAGAACGAGTGATGACTATGTAAACAGGCAGTGGGATTGGGTACCCAAGAGGTCAGGAGGGATGTGTATAGGTTCTTCTGTAGGTTATTGAATACAGTAGTCAATAGTGCTGATTTTCTGGAAGAGACATTGCAGGGCAGAAGAAAGCTGCATTCTGTGGATTCACAAACGGGGATTTATGCAGAGAGTAAGAATGTGTTGTAGTTAATGCACTGGACTGGGACTCAGGAGATCGGGGTTGTTTCCCAGGTCTGTTACAGAGTATGTGACCTTGGGCAAGTCACTTAGGGCCTACCGGTATTAGAGAGATTTCCACTGATGTAACAGCACCGACATAATTTCACCCGATGTAGAGCTTTGCACTGGTGTAAAACAGGGTTTATACCAGTGCAGTTTACTCTGTTAATCTACTGGATTAAGATGCACTGTTTTCAACCCTGCTTTATATCGGAGCAGGGTGACTCCATTAGGATGTAACTATATTGACAGTGTAACTATACTGACTAAATTACAATGGTGCAAATTTCTGTAATGCAGGCAGGGTCTTAATCTCTCTGTGACCCAGTTCTCCTTGTATAAAATGGGGATAATACTTTTCCCCACCCTGTGTCTGTCTTGTATATTTAGATTATAAAATACCTGGGGCAGGGATCATACCTTACTCTGTGTTTGTACAGTGCCTAGCACAATAGGACTCTGATCTTGGTAGAAGCCTCTAGGTACAACCATAATATAAATAATACTTAATAACTTGACAAAAAGGTGAACTATGTAGTTATCCGTGGAGCTGCATAACTGCATTCTATACAGACCCTGCCTCTAATTAAAAACTTTTAAGGTGCCATTTTATGGTACTGTGCCTTTCCTTTTTTAAGAATATATCAAGTGATCCTCACATAAAACAATACAATAGAACCAAAGCATTTTCATAAGGAAACCAATTATGAGTCAAGATGACAGAGAATTTCCCTTGTTATACTGACTGTTTTAAAAATTTTCTTTTAGTTGTGGAATATTCCATTCATGTGCACACTGGAGACATAAAGAAAGCAGATACCAGTGGAGAGGCTTATCTTTGTATTCAAGGAGCGAGAGGTGACTCTGGGAAAAGATGGCTTAATAATTCAAGAAGTGGACCCATCACTTTTGCCAGAGGCCAGGTAAAAGAACTGAGGAAAAATAATTGAAATTGTAAATGTCTCCTTAATAATACCTCACGTTTACATAGAACTTTTCATGCTAAAGGATGTTAAAAGTACTTGACCAGCCTGCCCATTCCATATAGGGATCATTTTACCTACTACCAAGTGACAACCATCTCTGGGATGAAATGTGATTGTTCTTCTGCACCATCAGCTTGCACAACAGAGAGACAGTTAAATTAATGAAGTATTTTTGTTCAGAAAATTAGATTACAAACTCCTTGATGCAGTTAGATGCAGTTATCTAAACTATGGGCCAAATGCACCATTGGTGGAAGTGCATAGCTCTCCATAAGCTATCTTGGTGTTGTGCCTGCTTAAATGAATATGGCACTGTGTGTTTTGTGAACGATCATGAACACCTACCCAGCAATATAAACAATAAATAATAATAAGGCAAATGTCCCATTCCAGTCCTCATTCTCCTTCTTTAGTTCGTCCATTCAGAAATTCCTTATTAACCTTGCAAAAATCTTCTTGGTTTTTGAGAATTCAAAAACTTTTGCAGAAAAAATCCTGGAACAACTGTTGTCAAGAGAATAGGATAGTTAAAGAAAATTTCAGATCAAAATCTTACAGATACCTTGTTAGACCTCAGTGTCTGATACAAATTCAGATTTGCAAGACATCGTTACATTTTTATCAAAGGTCAATGTAAAATCACTCTATAAGGAACCTACATGCATTTCTCTGTTACTAAGCTTTTTGCAGCTGACAGCCCTTCAACACTGAGTGGTGTTGAATGGAAAGTGAAGAACCAATGAATACTGCTTCAGTACCATTGTAACCAGAATCCAGATTATCGAGATTCAGTTTAGTGCTTGCTGCTTTAGTCACCCCAGGGCACGATGAGGAGAAACTCCTTGTCAAAATCCAGGAGTTGCCATGACTGCCACTTTGCAAAGATATATGGGAGAGGCCTTGACTCTGACTCATCAGCAGAAAACCAATCTGGACTATGTTATCGATCATCTCTACAATGGATGCTTCCATATTGTGGTGAACAGAATGGGAATGAGCTGCTTCCACTGTAAGAAACTCCCTCCTCATGACTCAGCCTGATGAGAGAGTGCCTGGCTTTGAGCTGCCATGCTCTGTCTGGTGCAAGCTCAACCATTTCAAAGGCGGGGCAGTGAGGTGTGCAGCAAATGACCACACCTGGGGACCTGGGAAACTCTTGTGTGGTTGAAAATGTTGCACACTTACTTGATGGCTTCTTACTGTGTGCTGATATATCAGCTGTTGAATGACTAAAACATGTGATGCCTACCTAAGTCCTTTTGATGTTTGTCTTTTTGATTCATACATCTGTATTCTCTCTACTTTTGCATTTTGAATTTTTTCCATCTTTATTATGCATCCACTAATAACAACTCCAGAAGAACATATGAAATTAAATCTTTTGCTATTTTTTTTTACTTTAATAGATAGACATTAGTCAGGTCTCTGAATGTAGCTGAAGTACCTCAAAGAATCTTCTACTTGACATATATTCTCTCTGTGAACTAAACCCTCCTCTTTTCATTTTGTCTGCTGATTTTCATTCTTAAAAGTTTCAGAAGCCAGGTTTTATGAAAAACAAACTAGATCTTTGCTGCTCATTGCAGCCTTCCAGTTAGTCTAATTAATTTGCACAGTTCTTCAGCAGAGTGTAAAGCCCTACCTGATATCCAACAAATATGGAGTTAATTCCCTGATCAGACTTTACAAAGGAAATCGGGAGACAGTAGTGAAAGAGGACTTAGAATGGTAGGGCTACCCAGGCTTTGAAGGATAATGTACGGAACTCAATGGGGCCATCTATTTGGTAGGTAGATTAGGATGATACTTAGAGAAAGCAGGATTCCACAAGCAGTTGGTAGAGACATGAAATATTAGTGCTGGCTGAGAAGGGTGGTGGTTCTGTTTTCTTTCTACATATATAAGGCCTCTGCATTTTCTTTATTCTCCTTGTAATAAATTCACTTTTAAAGTACCCTTAAGAATAATGCATTGAGGCAGGAAACTCATGGACTGACTCACTGATTTTTGTGAGTGCTGAGTTAGCTGATTGACTCCAACAATGAAGACGCTCCTGTTCTTTGAGTCCTCAAGTTTTTCTTTTTACATATCCACTTTCTGTTCCCATTCTCTGATATGTTTGGTTAGGGTAGCAACAACGTCACCTGGAGCAGGACTCTTCCATCTGTTTGAGTCCAGTATCTTTATTTTTTACTTATCATTTAAAGATTCTAGAGTTCAAGTAATAACAGCACTCTTTGGATTAATGGTGCTCATTACTCTTCTTAGTGTATTCTTTACCCTATCCTCCCTGACGACAATCTCAAAAAACACCTACTTTTTTGACCTTGATACTTCACCCTTCCTCTCAGATGAGAATTTGCCAGAGTAATCCATGTACTCATCGCCTCCAGGCTGGGCTGTCGTAATTCATTGTACCTGGCACTGAACATGGTAGCAGTGTAGGGTTTCCCTTGCCAGTTCAAGTCTTTGGCCCATCTTAAAAGCCCTTACTGGATCAGAATCAAGCTACATCAGCAACTGCATCTTCATTCAGAACTCACTTGGACAACTGTTCCTGTCTAGAATAACGAAGTCTGGGAGAAGTTCGTGAGCCCCAGAGATAAAATAACCTTAGTTGTGGAGGTTTTGTTGGGGAACAAGTTTCCCAAAGAGGTCAGACTAATTCAATTATTTATCTCATGCTTTAAGACCCTTAGCTTGGAGGCCTGAGTCAGCAAAATATTTAAGTACATTCTTTACTTTAAGCACAAGTAATCCCATCCATATTCAACAAAATATGCCCTTAATTTTAAGCAGTTACCTAAGTCTCATGTGCTTAAAGTTAATCATGTGCTTTTATGAGAGCTTTCCCATCTCTAACCAGACTGAAGAGAGGTGTTTGGGAAAAGAGTGAGAAAACAAACAAACCAAGAAGTGTGTGTGTGTGTGTGTGTGTGTGTGTGTGTGTGTGTCTTATGCCAGGAAAGAAGAAGATCAAAAGACTCCATTAAGTTCACTAAGCACTTCACCATGCAAATCTAAAGTACTTGAGAAGCTCTTTTGTGTGATGGAGATGACTTCCATAGAAAACCCTAATATAGATGCATAGGTATAATGTCACTTCTTATAAAGTCATAATTCATCCAATTTAGTTATTTCATCCTACAAGCTTAGTAGAAATCGGCATCTTACTGGAACTTCAATCTGAGCATCAAAGTTTCTGAAAATACTGTTTATCCATTATAGTGATACTTTAAAATTCATCAGAAAAGTCATACTACTCACTGACATTGGAAATATCAATTACAGCACATACTGTTTTATTATGCACTTGAAAGAAATGGAATGACATGACAAGGGTAAAGTAAAGGGCACTAACATACAAAGCAATGTCCACTTATGCAGAGGTAAATTCACAAGTCATACATACCTACCGTGCACAACCACAATTTAAATTATTCTCAAATTGCAGGTGGATGTTTTCAGAATCAAAGCAGTTCACCTTGGCAAGCTGAACCAAGTTCTTGTTGGATTTAAAAGTTTTAAAAAAGGTACTGTAGAATAATTTTCAAATGAACTATGTGCCTGGAATATACAGCATTGCATTGTAACAAACACCATATAACTACATTGATTATCATCAGATGTAATGGGGGTCAGAAATGCAGAAAAACATCTGTTAAAATTATGATTTCAGATCATATGTTTAATGAGGTCTGTTCTATTTGGAACTAGTGAAAAAATTGAAATTGCTGGACCTTTTCAGTTTTTTTCTGTGTTTTGTGTTAGATTGTATATAACCTGGTTTCATTTAACTTCTCAATGTACTATAGGAGAATCATAAACCGTATCCAGTAATTACATAGTGAAAAATTATGAGGCATTTCTTGTTTGTTTTTTTACAATAAGTGGCTTGTTTGATATATTTGGGTCTGCCAGTAGATTCAGCAAATATTTTTATTTTCCAGCAAAAGTATGTTATTTTTTCTTGTTTTGCATCTCATTTGGCTATCATTCCCCACTCCAATACACACATACACTGTTTTAACTTTTCCATTTTTAAAATTATGGACATTTTTATTAAGTATAAAATAAATCCTTAATCACTCAGGGTGAAATGCTTTCTTCTTCTGCCACCAGGGGAGAGGAACAAAGATCAATCAGTTGAGGTAAAAAGAGGGGCATGGAAGAGGGGGAGTGTTGGCTTCAAAATATTGTCCTCGTTTCCTATAGAAATCCATTCACAGGTGTTTAAGGGGCTCTGGGGATGTGGGTGGGGTGGCAGGCAGAGAAAGCTAGACTCTCTGCAGCATCATTTCTCCCAACTCCCCTCCAATTCTCAGTATAAATAATGCTTGCAACTTCAAAGTAGGTAGTGACAGTTGGGGACAGTGTGGGATCATGGCTCCTTCAGGACTCTCAGTGCCATGCGGGCCAAGTGGCCATGTGGAGACACAGAGAAGAGATGCAGGTAGCCCTGGCCTCTGCAGATCTCCTGAGATCAATGAGTTGCAGACCATCTCTGAGAGTGGCAAACCCAGTTCCCCATTCCTACTCCCACTATTGAGATCAAGAACGTGGAAAATTCAGGAGCCAAATTCATGGAGTTTCAAGTCATTTATATAGGAAAAACCCTAATAGGGGGCTATTTGCCTCTAATTGCTTAAAGTGAAAGGGTGAAATCTGACCCCACTGAATTCAGAGTCATAACTCCCATTGACTTAAGTAAGGCCAGGATTTCACCAAAATAGTTTCCTCCTATTTAGGATTAGCTTAAAAACAGTCAGAAATATGTCAGGACCAAGTGCAGTTCAAGTGACTGAAGCCAGTAGCTTCAGTTTCAGTGGGGATGTATGTGGATTTGTTTCTCATTTCTAATCCTCAAATGCTGATGATAATACACCAGTCCTGGAATAATTCATTGTTATACGCAAGAAAAGTCCGGAAAGGGCTATTTTAAAAACATTCTTTATATTAGTTTTCTTTTGTTTCCTGCTTATGTTGTCAAACAAGTCATGTCACATGGGTACAGTGTAACATGCATTTATTGCACTCTTAGGTCAGTAATATTCCTCCCTTGGAGGAGGAGAAAACTCTTGAGCTGCATGAGTTATAATCACTAATAAGAAATCTCTATGGCCCCAAACCTGGGAGGTGTTTCATGTCTTCTGTGAGTTGCTGAGTCCTCTGCATTCTCGTTTAAATCAGAAGCTTCAGCCTGTGTAGGCAGAGCTTATCATTGTTACTTGACATGCAATAAATTAATATATTTGTTTTAATCAGATGACTGGTTCTTGGAAAAAATTGTTATAAAAGAAGAAAGTTACCCTTTTGCCACTCACATCTTTGCTCACCATGACTGGATCAGCAAACACTCAAAGAAAGATTTTACAGAACTAGTAATTCCATTGAAAGGTAATGCCAACAAAATGTCTTTTGCTTACACAAATTAGTGTTGCATGACTAAGTACTGTTGAGTAAATTACAATTTATAAATTAATGTAATGATTTATGGTGACTTATAAGAAAGATATGTATTCTGAATATATATTTCTTCTAAATATAGAAATGACTGTGACATCTGATCCAGTAAAATACTTTGATACTAAAAGCAGAGGACGATGGCAAATGTGGGTGTACTGTACACACATACCAGAAAAAGTTCCTGATATTCAAGTTGTTGTGTTTGGAACAAAAGGGAAATCTGCTGCACAGAAGGTTCAGAATCTGAAAAATGACCCTTTTTTGGTTAGTTTCTTTTTATTATATTTTATATGGATCTTAACAATGTGTAACTGGGAAAGGTACACTGTGTTTTCTATGTGCCGGATTGTACACACAGATTGCTTTATTGGTCAGAGTTGATATCTGATATCTCCCATGCACCAAGAAAACGGTACTACTAGAACTACTGGTACAGGAAGTGAAACCAGATATTGTAGGGATAACAGAAGCATGGTGTAATAGTAGTCATGACTGGAGTACAGGTATTGAAGGGTATGTGCTGTTCAGGAAAGACAGAAATAAAGATAAATATGGTGGAGTAGCATTGTATATTAATTATGAGATAGACTGTAAAGACATTAGCAGTGATGGAATGGATAAAACAGAATCTGTTTGGGTCAAAATCACTTTGGGGAAGAAAGCTACCAGAGGCTCCACTGGGATAGTGCTTGGGGTCTTTAAGATCTGATATGGATATGGATAGAGACCTCTTTAATATTTTAATTAAATAAATACTACTGGGAATTGTGTGATCCTGGGATACTTTAATTTCACAGATATAGAGTGGAGGACAAGTGCTACTAATAATGGTAGGGGTCATATATTCCTGGATGTGATAACTGATAGATTTCTTCACCAAATAGTCACTGAGCCAACAAGAGGTGATGCCATTTTAGATTTGGTATTGGTGAGTAGTGAGGACCTCTTAAAAGAACTGGTTGTAGAGGACAACCTTGGTTTTCATGATCATGAGCCAATTCAGTTTAAACTAAATGGAAGGCTAAACAAAAATAGATCTGCAACTAGGGTCCTTGATTTCATAAGATCAAACTTTAAAAAATTAAGGGAATTAGTTAGGTAAGTGGACTGGACTGAAGAACTCAAGGACTTGAATGTGGAGGAGCCTTGGAATTACTTTAAGTTAAAGTTGCAGAAACTATCTGAAGTCTGCATCCCAAGCAAAGGGAAAAAAATGTATGGAAGAATTGCAGGCCAAATTGGATAAGCATGCATCTCAAACAGGTTATTAAGAGAAAGCAGACAGCCTACAAGGAATGGAAGATGGGAACAATCAGCAAGGAAAGCTACCTCTTGGAGATCAGAAAGAATAGAGAAAAAGTGAAAAGTATAGAGAAAAATCCAAGCAAATATGGACGTGCAAAGGAAATTAAAACCAATAGTAATACATTCTATAGCCATATAAATGAAAAGAAAACAAGGAAATAAGTGGCATTGCTAAACACTGAGGATGGGATGTAAATTAAAGATAATATAGGCATGACCTAATACCTAAAGGAATACTTTGCCTCATTTTTTAATAAGGGTAATGAGGAGCTTAGGGATAGTGGCAGGGTGGCTACTGAAAATGAGGATATGGAAGTAGAAATTACAATATCCAAGGTAGAAGTCAAATTTAGACAGTTTAGGGGGCCCAGATAATCTCCATCCAAGAATATTAAAGGAACTGGCATGTGAAATTGCAAGCCCAATAGAAAGGATTTTTAATGAATCCATAAACTCGGGGGTTGTACTCTGTCACTAATTGCTAATATAATATTTATTTTTAAGAAAGGAAAAGAAAGTGATGCAGGAAACTACAGGCCCATTAGTTTGACCTCAATAGTATGCAAGATCTTGGAACAAATTTTGAAAGAGAAAGTAATTGAGGACAAAGAGGTAAATGGTAATTAGGATAAAACACAACATAGCTTTACAAAAGGTAGATTGTGCCAGACCAACCTGAACTCTTTCTTTGAGAAGGTAACTGATTTTATTAGTCAAAGGAAATGCAATAGATATAATTTACCTAGATTTCTTTAAGGCATTTGATACAATTCCATATGGGAAATTATTAGTTAAATTGGAGAAGATGGGAATCATCATGAGAAAAGAAAGGTGGATAAGGAACTGATTAATGGGGAGACTACAGTAGGTCATACTGAAAGGTGAACTGTCAGGCTGGAGGGAGTTTACTACCAGAGTTTCTCAGGGCTCGGTCTTGGGACCCATCTTATTTAACATTTTTATTAATGACCTTGGCACACAAAGTGGGAGTGTGCTAATAAAAATCGTGAATGACACAAAGTTGGGAGGTATTGCTAATATGGAGGCGAACCAGAATATAATACAAGAAGAGCCGGAGAACCTTGAATACTGGAGTAATAGAAATTGGATGAAATTTAGTAGTACCAATTGCAAAGTCATGCATTTAGGTATTAAAAACAATTGGAAGTGACGGAGGAGAAAGACCTGGCTGTATTATTTGATCACAGATTGACTTTGAGCCACCAATGTGATGCACCCGTGAAAAAGGCTAATGCAGTTCTAGGATGCATCAGGCAAGGTATTTCCAGTAGAGATAGGGAAGTGTCATACAAGGCACGGGTGAGACCTCATCTAGAATACTTTAGACATCTGGTCTCCCATGTTCAAAAAAGATGAATTCAAACTGAAACAGATGCAGAGAAGGGTCCCTAGGATGATCAGAGTAATGGAAAACCTACCTGAGAAAAGGAGACTCAAGATGTGATTGGTTTCCCCCCTTAGGATGCCACCTGATGTACTGGAATACTGCTGAGCCCACCTGTTCTGCCAGCCTGAGCACCCTTTTTCCTGTCTTGCTGAGCCAGGCTATTAAGCCTCCTCCAGCACACACACAGGCAGGGCCACACCCAGCTGCAGAAAGACACAGACACTGAGATTAGTTCTGGGAAGACTCAGTTTAAGGGACTTGCCCCAGCACTCAGGTGTCCACCTCCCTTGGAGAGCAGACCCAAAGGTATATTATGAAATCCACCTCCTCCCTCAATGTGGAGGAAGATATGCACAGCCTCTTATCCCCCCCCCCTGCCTAATTATGAATTGTACAAATGGGGTTATATTATAAACAAGAAATAGGTTTATTAACTACAAAAGGTGAATTTTAAGTTTGTAAAGAGATAGTAATCTGCTTTGTTCTGTTTGCTAAGCAAATAAAACAAAACACGCAAACTAAGCTTGTTTCACTAAAGAAATTGGTTACAAATAGTAATTTCTCACTCTAGATCACTGATTCTCAAACTTTTGTACTGGTAACCCCTTTCACACAGCAAGCCTCTGAGTGCGACCCCCCCTTATAAATTAAAAACACTTTTTTATATATTTAACACTATTATAAATATGCTGGAGGCAAAACGGGGTTTGGGGTGGAGGCTGACAGCTCGCGACCCCCCACATAATAACCTCATGACCCCCTGAGGGGTCCTGACCCCCAGTTTGAGAACCTCTGCCCTAGATATTGTTGCAGACAGATTACAGAAAGTCTTGAAAGGCAGCTGCACTGGTCTCCAGCTTGAGACCTCAGGTATTATTATTCACAAGCTAGACGCCTTCCAGCTTGGGCTCAACCCTTGTCACCCCAATTCAGTTCTTATTTCCAGGTGTTTCACAGTGACTCTTTGGGTGAGGAGACAGAGGAGAACCCTGATGATGTCACTCCCCTGCCTTATATAGCTCTTGTGTAAGGCGGGAACCCTTTGTCTTCCAGTGGAAAAACACTGGCATTCCAAAATGGGAGGAGGGCTGTCCAGTACCAGGTGTCTCTGTAGGGCTGTGGCAGCCACTATTCATAGGCTGTCTTGAGCATCCACAGGAAAACTAAGCTCTTTTACAGTCCATTGTCTTTGCTAATGGGCCATTAGCACTGTCTGGCTTTCTCATTATTGTACCTGAAGGGCTAATTGAGGGTGACACAAAAGTAACCCATTTGAAATACAGATACATAGTCAATATTTCTAACTTCAGATACAGAAATGATACAGGCATACAAATTGGATAATCACATTCAGTAAATCATAATCTTTCAAATGATACCTTACAAGACCCATCTTGCATAAAGTACATCTCAGTTATTTCATATCCATATCATAAGCATATTTCCATAAAGAATATGGAGTTTAATGTCACATGAGGAGCTTGGCTTGTTTAGCCTAACCAAACAAAGACTGAGGGGAGATATGATTGCTCTTTATAAATGCATCAAAGGGATAAATACCAGGGAGGGAGGGGAGTTATTAAAGTTAAGTGCCAATGTGGACACAAGAACAAATCGATATAAACTGGCCATCAACAAGTTTAAGCTTGAAATTAGATGAAAGTTTCTAACCATTAGAGGAGTGAAGTTCTGGAACAGTCTTACAAGGGGAGCAGTGTGGGCAAAAAACCCAACTGGCTTCAATACTGAGCTTGATAAGTTTATTGAGGGGATGGTATAATGAGATTGCTTACATTGGGAGATTGCAACTGCTAGTAGCAAAAATGCCAGTAGCTGGAGATGTGCGGGCTGTGGGTGGTTGAAAGGGAGTAGCTGAGGTTGAGAAGTGAAGCACAGATGAGGAGTTGAATCCTTTAACTGCTTTTTTCCTTGCTTTTCCTGATTTGCATTAGTGGCATTGCAGCAATGATATGTATTAGCCCCTACATGACCACCTTGAAAGAGCTGATGTCCCAATGTACTCATCAACTCTAAGGCCAGAAGAGAACACCGTGTTAATCTAATGTGACCTACTGCACATCGCAAGCCACAGAATCTCACCGCACATCTTTACATTCAGCCTGAACAACCAATGGGTAGCCTTAATTCCAACTACAAGTGTAAATTTAAATATAAACACTTAAACATCTGTAAATTTCAGTTCTCTCATTTCTACATAAAAATAAATACCAACTTTCCAAACACTTGCTAGAACATAGATCACCTCTTCACTAAAGTTTATTCATAAACATGAAGGAAAAATATATGACAGCATCCACCATTTGCAATCTGACCCTATATTTTATTTACCCACACCAATACAAAACCACTACACAACTATGTACAAAAAGTAATTTATGGAAGCCACCACCAACCCTATCCTGATCATGAAAACACATTGAAATTTAACCAATAAACATGGTCAGAGTTCAAGGCTGCCTGTTGGTTGCTCAGGTCGAGGATGGAGATCTGTGGGCTGTGAGCAGGGGACTGGAGGCAACTAAGGTTGAGAAGAGGAAATGATAAATGGAATGTAGTTGTGAGTTCCTTGCTTTTTACAGTTTGAGGTGGGCTGTGTAGTCTAGACGCTTTAACTTAAAGTTAACAAAGTTTTTTGTGGGAGATATATACTGTACTGTATGAGTTCAGATTCATTTTCTGATTTACCATTGGGGTTTGTTCACCCTTGCTCAGCATTCTCGTTTATTCACTCATCTTTCCAAATGAGTTAAGAGAAATGAAACAAAACAAAATCCCCCCCCAAAAAACCTTGCCTTATGCCTTATGATCAAAATGATTGTGTAAGGTATGTATGCATCAGTTAACTTTTTTTTATTATTATTTGACAGCTGACTGTTGATGATATTGGTGATGTAACAAAAGTTTCCTTCGTGTTATCTGGCCCACGTTTAGGAAGAGGAATTAAACTTCACAAGGTATTTCACATGAATTGCATTTGACCTGGATGCATCATGCATAATAACAATAGAAAAATACCTTTTGGAAGTACATTACCTTATACAATGTAGAGCACTTCTTTGTAATGCGACAATATTATTTATTAGCATGTGTCAGAAATAGAAGGTGAAATTCTGGCGCCATTAAAGTCAATGGGAGTTTTGCCATTGACTTCAGAGGAGCCAGGGTTTCCCCCCATAATATGCAATCTCTGACAGAATATGTTAAATGTATTGATATTTGCTGAGTCCTATATTTTGTGAGCAAGTCCATATCACAAAATCCATTATGTAGCAGGGGGCAATATTTTCCATTGATGTATGCTTTTAGCAGGTATAGGGGCCCTGCATGAAAAGAGTGACTGACTTCTGCTGATTCACAGTGGCCCCGATTCAGGAAAGCATTCAAGCCCATGTATAAATCAACCTCTGTTCAGGGCAGTAGGTGCACAAGTGGCAACAGTTTTAGTTTTTAAACTTCCTAAAAGAAAATCCAGTCAATTCTCTCATGGCTAGCTAACTGTTATGTACTGGAATTGGAGATAGGACTGCGGGACAATGTCTTCTCTCTCCTTGAGCTTGATCCTGCATGCTGCTGAATGCTTGACATTAATGGAAGTGGAGAATCTTGCAGAATCAGGGCACTTAACAGTTTGGGACCGGGGCGGCGCTATGTATTTTGCTGCCCCAAACACGGCAGTCAGGCGGCTTTCGGAGGCTTGCCTGCCGGAGGTCCACCAGTCCCGCACCTTCAGCGTACCGACCGCCGAATTCCCGCCGAAGCCGCGGGGCCAGCGGACCTCCCGCAGGCGCGCAGCCAAAGGCAGCCTGACTGCCGCCCTCACAGCGACCGGCAGGCCACCCCCCGCGGCTTGCCGCCCCAGGCACGCGCTTGGTGCGCTGGTGCCTGGAGCTGTCCCTGTTTGGGACTCCAGGGCATAAAGTTAGCCATGTGGAATTCTTCAGCTTTGGGGCATTTTAAATGCTCAAGGACCCCAGTACATAAAGTTTGGTATGTACTTGATGGTCTGCATTCCAGGTACTCTACAAAAAGAAATGTATATCTAGAGTCCTTAGTCACTTAAGATCTTTAAGGCTGAAGGTTTCTGTGAAGAGAACTTTAATATCTTGCATATAAAGTTTCTACTCAGAGAAATTCATGCCATGGAATGCTTAAAGCTTAAGAAATAATTTCTGGAGCTCTGTAGATGCTAGTCTTGTACTTTATGTTGTAACTCTGAACCTTAGAAAAAAGTTGGTATGCACATGGATGGAGCTATATTTTTATATGCTAGCCAATCGCTATTTTTCAATTTGTATTTTGTAAATTGGCTTAAGAGTCAAAGAGTGTGCTTTTAAAAAAATAGTGTAAAATACTGGTTTTTCTCTTCAGAAACTCAGAAATGGACAAAATGGATTTTCTTCAAACACTTTTACAAAATTTTTACAAAATTTTCACTTTCAGGCTCAGACTAAACATGGATAATTTTTACTTAAAGGGAAAAAAATAAAGATATGAACAACTGAAACTGTCAGATTATAATGAAGGCCCAACATAACCTTTACTATAGTATTTACTGCCAAAGTAATAGGGTGAGTTTTTCAAAAAAGTTAAAAGAGTTAAGTGCCCAGATTTCATTGAAGAGCATTGGCATTTTGGAAGTGGATTAAGCTAAACTGAATGTGAGTGTTCATACAGGGGTTTAAAGCAGTTTAAATAATCCACTTTAAATTCACACTTTAATTAATTTGGATTAATTTTCCTGAGTGTCCCAGGCCTGGTCTGTACTACAAAATTAAGTCGACATAAAATGCCTTGTGTCAGCCTAGTTGTACGTGTGTTTACACTTAAATTTGTCTCCCACTGATGTAAGTGCCCCTTTACAGCAATGCAGTAACACCACCTCCCCAAGTGGTGTAGAGTCATGATTGATGTATTGAGGTCGATGCAGAGCAAGTGCAGACAATATTACTTATGTCAACCCTAACAGCAGCTGTCCCACAATGCCTGACATTGAACTCTCCTGGTCATAATTGTGAACTCCACTGTCCAGGGGTCACAGAAATCAGAAGGCTCCTGTCCCCTTTAAAGCCCTGCGAATTTTTGAAATGCCTTTTTGTGATTGTCCAGTTTTGTGAGCACAACAGGTAATCCTCCATTGTTATGTGCAACTGCCCAGCTGACTATGCCAGTACACACTCCAGATGCGCTCCGGCTTGGAGTAGGCAGGAGATATTGGATTTCCTAGGCCTATGGAGAGAAGAGGTTGTGCAAGCACAGCTATAGACAAGCCATAGAAACATGGACATCTATAACCAGATTGCACTGGAGATGCAGGAGAAAGGATGCCTGATCCAAATCAGAAGGAGAAAGAAGAGGACTTGGGAGAACATGTTCCATGAGATCCCTGCAAGCCAATGCTGCATTAGATGGTGAGCAAAGGCCTGGAGGATGAACATTGCAGACAGACTGAAGAAGGAAAGAGTGGACAGGAGAAAGTCCCAGAAGGAAAAGGAGAGGAAGATGCACCAGGACATAATGGAGCTTCTCAGCTGCAAACACAGATGTTGCAGACTCTTATGGACCTACAGTAATCATGGGCTCACCTCTCTTTGCAGTCCATGGAGAACTTCATTACAGCACCTCCCTACATCCTGCTTCAACATTCCACATGGTATTAGGGCCACATCCCTACCCTTACCACTCTATCCCAGGGGACATTAAGGACAAGCACAGCTTCACATACACTGACCTATGAAATCCACAGTTGTGTATGTGTAGGTAAAATGGACATGAATGTTCTTTCCCCGTAGTAAGTTTTGTTCCATTAATTTATTAAATTTTAAATTTATTTGCTTTTAAATTGAACAGATTTTTCTTTGCACTGGTTTTGTTACCAAATAAAATTCTATTATTTGAAAAATAAGTCATTTTTATTAGTTCACAACAGATGCTGTAGAGTGCTTAGCAGCTCTTAAAGCACCCACTTTAAGTTGGGACAACTCATAAGATCAATGACAACACAGTGTAATAATCATAAATATACAGCAAGCATCGCAAAATTAATAGGAGCCTTGACAGTGTTATATTCATAGCTGTACACCAAGCACCACACAACTCCTAACAGGTCCCAAAACATCAGGGCCAGGTGGAGCACAGTACACAACAACACATTACTGTGGTTCACTGTTAAAGTGCTCTTTCAAAGCTGCCCTGAGCTGTATAGCTCTGCATTGAGCTCTTCTAATAGCCTTTTGTCTGGCTGTTCAAACTCAGAAGACAGCTGTTCCATCTCCATCCTCTACCTCGGTGGCAACTTTTCCCCGCTTTGCTTCAAAGATATTATGCAGGATGCAGCAGCAAGCTATAACCGTTGGGATGTTTTTGCCACTGAGATCCAATGTTCTGAGTCAACTATGCCAGTGTCTCTTCAATCTACCAAAAGTCCATTCAACTGCCATTCTAAACCTGCTGAGCCACAGCTGAATCTTTCTTTGGTGCTGTTGAGGTGGCTGGTGTAGAGTTACATGAGCCAGGGGAAAAAGGAGTAGGGTGGGTGCCCCAGAATCACTTTTGGCATTTCCACATACATTGCCAATCGTAATCTGCTGGTCAGGAAAGAAGGTCCCTGCTTGCAGCTTCTTGAATAGTTCTGTGGTTTTAAACATGCAAGCGGCATGCACCTTCCCTGACCAGCCAACATTGATGTTGGTGAAGCATCTTCAGTGATCCACCAATGCTTAATGCACTTTGTGACAAGGTGGTCTGGTGCCAAAATAGGGATATGCTTGCCATCTATTGCTCCACCACATTTTGGGAATTCCACTGCTGCTAATCCATCCACGATGTCCTGTACATTGCTGAGAATCACAGTCCTGTGTAGCAGGAGATGATTAATGCCCCTGCATACGTGCATGACAATGGCCTCCACAGTGGATTTTCCATCTCCAAAATGGTTTCCCACTGACCAGTAACAATCCAGCATTGCAAGTTTCCCCAGTGCAATCACCACTCGCTTCTCTGCTGCCATGCAGCTCTCATTTTGCTGTCCATGCTCTGGAGGGCTGGGCAAGCTTGGCATATAGATCCAGGAATGTGGTCTTGCACATCCCAAAGTTCTGCAGCCACTGCTCATTATCCCCAGCCTGCATTACTATGTGATCCCATCAGTCTGTGCTCATTTCTTAGGCCTAGAAGCAGCACTTTACCACCTGCAGCTGCTCCACGAATGCCACCAACAGCTTTGAAATTGGTTCTCACAAAGTCCCACATTAATCTGTCCTCTGAGGTATCATCATGTTTCCCCACTCTTCTGGTTCTTCTTGTGGCTCTACAAATAGTGGAGGATCATGCATCCCGTGCAGAGTAGTGCAGAGCTGTGCAGGCTCCATGCTTCTGTCAGAGATGGTGGAGAGCAAGGAGGGCTGCATGGGTTTGTGGGATTTTTAAAAAAGGTGCAGAATTTATGGATATAGATGACATTGTGGGATGAAGACAGTTGCACTCTGGGAAGTTGATCCCAGTAACCCCTGCATGGTTTGTTTCTGCCTCACTATGCATTGCCAGAACTTCCTGGTGAGTATGCTCAGCACTGACACAAGGAGCCAAGTATGCACACACACAAGCAATATACTAACTGTGGCAGTTTTATGGCAATGTAACTTGTGTCAACCAAAGTTTGTAGTGTAGACATGGCCTCAGAGTAAATAAACCCTTGTAGTGTAAAAGCAGCAAAGAGTCCTGTGGCACCTTATAGACTAACAGACGTATTGGAGCATGAGCTTTCGTGCGTGAATACCCACTTCTTCGGATGCATGTAGTGGAAATTTCCAGAGGCAGGTATAAATATGCAAGCAAGAGTGAGTCAGGCTAGAGGTAACGAGATTAGTTCAATCAGGGAGGATGAGGCCCTCTTCTAGCAGTTGAGGTGTGAACACCAAGGGAGGAGAAACTGCTTTTGTAGTTGGCTAGCCATTCACAGTCTTTGTTTAATCCTGAGCTGATGGTGTCAAATTTGCAGATGAACAGAAGCTCAGCAGTTTCTCTTTGAAGTCTGGTTCTGAAGTTTTTTTGCTGCAGGATGGCTACCTTTAAATCTGCTATTGTGTGTCCAGGGAGGTTGAAGTGTTCTCCTACAGGTTTATGTATATTGCCATTCCTAATATCTGATTTGTGTCCATTTATCCTTTTACATAGGGACTGTCCAGTTTGGCCGATGTACATAGCAGAGGGGCATTGCTGGCATATGATGGTGTATATTACATTGGTGGACGTGCAGGTGAATGAACAGGTGATGGTGTGGCTGATCTGGTTAGGTCCTGTGATGGTGTCGCTGGTGTAGATATGTGGGCAGAGTTGGCATCGAGGTTTGTTGCATAGGTTGGTTCCTGAGTTAGAGTTACTATGGTGCGGTGTGTAGTTACTGGTGAGAATATGCTTCAGGTTGGCGGGTTGTCTGTGGGCGAGGACTGGCCTGCCACCCAAGGCCTGTAAAAGTGAGGGATCGTTGTCCAGGATGGGTTGTAGATCACTGATGATACGTTGGAGAGGTTTTAGCTGGGGACTGTATGTGATGGCCAGTGGAGTTCTGTTGGTTTCTTTCTTGGGCTTGTCTTGCAGTAGGAGGCTTCTGGGTACACGTCTGGCTCTGTTGATCTGTTTCCTTATTTCCTCATACGCGTATTGTAATTTTAAGAATGCTTGGTGAAGCTTTTGTAGGTGTTGGTCTCTGTCTGAGGGGTTGGAGCAGATACGGTTGTATCTCAGTGCTTGGCTGTAGACAATGGATCGTGTGGTGTGTTTGGGATGGAAGCTGGAGGCATGAAGGTAGGCATAGAGGTTGGTGGGTTTTCGGAATAGGGTGTTGTTAACGTGACCATCACTTATTTGCACCTCTAGCCTGACTCACTCTTGCTTGCATATTTATACCTGCCTCTGAAAATTTCCACTACATGCATCCGAAGAAGTGGGTATTCACCCACGAAAGCTCATGCTCCAATACGTCTGTTAGTCTATAAGGTGCCACAGGACTCTTTGCTGCTTTTACAGATCCAGACTAACACGGCTACCCCTTTGATCCTTGTAGTGTAGACATGGGCCCTTACGTGCCCAATTCCCATAGAAAGTCCTAATAACTTTCAAAGGATGTTGGACACCTAATTCCCATAAACACCTTTGAAAATCCCAGCTATGATATATGCAACATCAGCATCAAGCATCAAACAAACCAAAAGCAGAAGGAAATACACCTCTACTTCGATATAACGCTGTTCTCAGGAGCCAAAAAATCTTACCGCGTTATAGGTGAAACTGCGTTATATTGAACTTGCTTTGATCCACCGGAGTGCACAGCCCCGCCCCCTCGGAGCACTGCTTTACTGCGTTATATTCGAATTTGTGTTATATCGGGTCGCATTATATTGGGGTAGAGGTGTATAAACAGTTAACACACACATATGTTGAACCATAATAGGGAAATTAATACTTCCTTACCTCACAGGAGTGTTGTGAGGATAAATACCTTAAACATTGTGAAGCATTTTGAGACCCATTGATGAAAAGCACTATAAAAGAGCTAGTAATAATGAATAAATGAACATCACCCCTAATGCCTTTGGACAAATATGTATATACAGATAGGCCTGCTGTAGCTTTACACAGTCACTGGAAATTCTGGAACAGCAGTTACTAGCATATGGATTTAGGCCCTGATCCTTTAGCTGGATTCAGTCAGAGGGTCTTTATGTCTGTATGAAGCCCCATTAAAGAGCTCACTTGGGAGCACCCAGTTACAGGATCTGGGCCTTGCAATAGCTGTTCCTCCGCATGCTAAATCAGGCATTATTTATACATGAAAATATTATATTATTTTAAATAAGTGTCAGAAATGTCAATTTTTGTAAGGAGGGGAATAAGAAAATATTTCATAATAAATATGATTGTTCTCTTCTACTGCCTGCAGCTTCGTCTGAAAGACCTGGACACTAAGCAAGAACTGAGCTTTTACAGTGCAGACCAGTGGCTCTTTAAAGAAGATGGGTCAGAGACCGTGACAGAGCTAGCAGCAGTCAGACCAGATAAGGCACCGCTCAGGGGTATGCTGCTGAACCAAGAAACAAGCAAAAAAATGTTTTTTAAAGTGAATCAACTAGAATAAACATGATGATGGGAAAGATTATAAAACATTTTAGAAAAGTCATTCCCAGTTGCTTTTGACATCCTTGGTTAAAGCACTTGTGTGAAATGTTGGATCTTTAACAAAGCCTAAGAGGGCTTAAAAATGTTTTACTGCTTTCCTCTTTAAGGCAAATAGCACATGTATTTAATGTTTCCACTACATCAAATGCCAATTTGAACACCTCAAAATATACAGGGCCAAACTGGTGCAATTCCCCTGAAATCATTGGAATTATGCCAGCTTACACCAGCTGGGGACCTGGCTCATATATTTAAAATGCACGGTAATGTGATGATTGAAAATTTTATGGACAAAGAAAAGATTGATGGCTTTATATTTAACAAGAAAAAAGGCTGAAATTCTGGCCAAACCAGAGATGTGCCTCAATATTTTTTTGTTTGTGTTGTCATCTAATTGATATGCTGTAGGAACAGGAATACACAGATAAAATTTAATATGAACATGATTTTAAAACTCTGGTAAGATCTTCTTTTGTTTTAGGTGTATTTTATACAGTATTTGCCAGAAAAAAGTCTAATTCACTAAACATTATAATCAAAAGTCAACTTCATCCAAACATTAAAAACTGTTTCCTTTCCCTTCCAGTTCAAAGCTGGACTGTATGTAGAATTAGATGGTGGGAGTATATTACAGCATTTAGTTCTACACAGAGTTATCACAACCTTGGATAAAAAAATGTTCTTGTCATGCTGCTAAGGAAAAATCATGCCAGATGATCATTACTGTCTGTAGTGAATAATATTAATACATATCGATGTAAATAGTTAAGCCGCTTCCCCAGACCAAATTAATTGTAGTGGCAACAGTTATCTATCTGGCAGGTTAAAATGGAATGCAGCTAACCAAGAACAAAGAGTGGGATATTTTCATTGTCAATCTTTTATATTTCTTTCATAAAATGTTGCTGTAGTGAGCAAGTTCTAACTGGAATTAAGCTCTGTATTTATTATAAAGAGAACTCAGGCCTCATCCAAAGCCCATTGAAGTTAGTGAATGGCTTTCAACTCACTTCAGTGGGCATTGGATCAGGCTTTCAATAACTAAGAGATTTTTTTCTCTTTTGAATATGAACATGCGCGCTGACATTCCATTTATAACACTGAAACATGCCATTGAGAAGCAGTTAGCAATCTGTATTAAAATTGGATGGAAAATGTAGGTACATGAAGGAGGATCAATTAATAATCATTTTATCCTGTACTCTTTTAGATTAATTATTTACTTGGCATAGATCTTTTAGTAATGTTTTCTTTTATTTATTTTTCATGGCAGAAGTTCTTTACTCAGTCAGTGTTCACACAGGAACATTACCTGCATCAGGAACTGATTCAGATGTCTTTATTACAATATTTGGAGTGAATGGAGACTCCTGCAAAAGAAAACTTAGGCATTCTAGGTCACATGCAAGTTTTGAAAGAGGTCAGGTTAGTATGGATTTTTTTATGCATTTCTCTCTCTCTCTCTCTCTCTCTTTTTTTTTTTTTTTTTTTTGTATTGTCATCTTCTAAACCCTGTTTTCTCTCTGAAGATTCAGTACAAGCTTGAGGCATAAACCAGTTCTGTGGTATACATAGGAACTTGTCATAGTCTATTCTAGAAATCTAAAGGCACAGCAAGAACCTTAGTGAGGATACTATGTTGAGCCAGCGGAAGCTGCAAATCAACCCCAGTCACTTGCTAAGAACAGATATTTTAGATCAATTCAGATGCCAATTTAAGAACAATGCCAATAATAGAAAGCAGTTTAAAAACAATGGACCCACAGTAAAATATGATAGCAGCTGAAGATGAACCATAGGAAGGAGGCTAGGATTCTCCTCTACCATTAAAATGTCTATACAAGGTGCTAACCTATATTTAGAAACCACTTAATTGAAATGTGTTAAAAAGTTATGTGTTGGTTTAGTTAGGGCCACTAACGTCTTACATATGCTGAGAAAATGCATCATGTCAGAAAAATATATTAACATGTTTTAACTAACACAATATAAAAAATTGTTGTTACCAAGGGAAAAAGTTAATTACCTAATCTTTATGAAGGTCAAATACATCACCCATCAAAAGAAAAAGATTGAAGGCAGAAAAAAATTGTAAAAATTCCCAGACAGGACCATGATGGTGTATCCCAGTTTGAAGCCTGTGACTAAATAATCAATGTGACCGTCAGTATAGGTTATATCAGAAATGAGAACTTTTTCCCTCAAATGTCCACTCCCTGACCACAATCATCTTTCCCATTTTATTTCTTTTCCCCTACAAAAGTCAATTTTGCAGAGGGAAAATGGTGTGATTTCTCAATGAATTAGCTAATTTCCTCTGAAGTAAATTTACAAAACTTCAGGATTTTTTTGGAGGGGAGACTATTACCATCTACAGTGCGATAAACTGTTTATTTTAGAGAAGTTAGTAACATTTGGGCCTGGATTCAATTATTTGAAAGCATCTTAACATTTGCAGCTAAAAAACCGAGATGTGAAAGTACTTGCATGCAAACTCATGTAGGTTGAGAAATTTCTGACAAAATGTTAGTGTCCTCTGGGGAGGTCATCTCAGAGGTGAGTCAATTTGGCAATGGCTCTTCTCCTTCCAGTCTCAGGGCTAGGCACCCTCAGTGGAAATTGCAGCTGTTGTCTTCTTCCCAGCTGCCAGAGACACACAGACCCTCAGCATAGCTCTGAAAATCAAGAGGCACTCTAAGTTTATACTGCTGATGAGGAAGAAGGGCAAACTACAAACATAGACCCTGGTGCTGCAAACAGTTGACAGCAGTGGGGTTACTCACAGTGTGTAAAGTTAAGCAGCTGCCAAAGTCTTTGCAGAATTGGGGCCTTATTGACATCTCCACTCTCTGGAGCAGATGCACATTGGAATACATTACATTTGGTAAGGAAGGGACTTCCAGAAGTGCCCAGTTATTGCTCTCTAAGTGGGAGACCTTTTCAATACTTTTATGGGAGGGAGAAGAGCAAAGAGTTCTGAGTTGAGTAAATCTGGTAAAGAAAGGAGAGGAAGTGAAAATGAACACAGAGCAGTAGATCAAAGAGGAATTTAGGAGACTGAAATGGATGAGAAGACACACTGAGCGAGTAAGATCTGTGCGAAATAAAAACAGAAGGGAAGAGGATATGGCAGAGGTAGGGAAGAGAAGGAAAGTATATAAAGTTAAGGACATGTCTCACATGTGAGAAATGAGTATTGATGAGGAAATTTAACAGGAAAACTGTTCTGCACATGATTACAACGGCCACAGGACAGCAATGCCTCCCTTATTTGCAAACAATATTTGTTGGTTACATAGTTCACTGTTTAATCTGCTTTTTAGTAGTAAAATGTATTTGTAACTATAGCAACTGTCACATCATATATGAATATATTTGCTATGTGAGATGCAAAATATTTTCTTAAAGAACACACACACTAAATTGAAATATTGTGCTAATTTCAATCAGTGCTAAACAAGATAATTCAAACGCAGTTCCTGTTTGGGAGAGATGCTGAGGACCTGTCTCTGGTCTGTACTATAATTCCTCTGCCATCATACCCAATGACATCAATGCCACTGACTCCATATCAACTTCATAATCCAGTTTGAAATTGCTGTTCTTTTCTTTTTTAAACCCTGTCTACAAGCCCCGTCACAGATTCTGTCCCTGTATCCCCCTTACCGCTTCTTTTGTCTGTCTAGAACCAGACTCCTCTCCTCCACCTTCAAAATCCCAGGACTGGGCCTGCACTATGAATGGCGTCTTCTATACAAACTGTATTGCAAAGCTCTTTATAGAGTTTAATAATAATTACAATGTTAAAATAAAAATATCAGTGAGTGAGAGAAACTTCTTGAGGCAATAGAGAAAATATGTTTTTGGCTAAGATTTGAAGGAGATGGAAAATCCATGAGATGGGAAGGCTATTCCATATTGCATTTTCCTGCAATGGAGAAGGTTCTTGCAACAACAGTAGTTGGTGATCTTACGTGAAAGAAAAGAAAGGAGGCCAGTTCTAAAGTAATGAAAGAAGCAGAGAGGGGAGTCAGGAAAACAAGATCTAGACGGTATTCTGAGGAAAGGGTCCGGTGGTCTGGTTTTTTGGACAGTTTTGAATTGGATCTCAAGGTGGATTTGGAACAGATGGTGGTGTTTAGTCAAGCTTAGCTTGTACATGTCAGAAGGCACGCAGCAGGATTCTGCACCTACTGGAGTTTGGAGGACTGGGACTTGGGGCGATCATATAAAAAAGTACTGCAATAAAGAGGAGATGAAAGTGTAACCCACTGTTAAGTGTGTGTGCTACATTTTCCCCTCTGGGCTGGATCTAGCACCCAGTTAGAGGACTTAGTCCTTTAGCTCAAGCTATAGAAGATGTTCCTTTCCAGTTTGGAGGTTATTGACTGATGACCAAGATGACTATTGTTACAGAAGCAGGGTCAAGGCACCGGTGTATACAGAACAAACAGTATCACAACAGATAATAAGCAGATTTGCCAACACAGGAAATATAGGAAGTGAAGAAAAGTTCAGAGCCAAGTTTAAAGACACTTGAGGGAAGTGGAATGCCTGAGATAAGGAGGATACAAGAAACTGAAATGTGTCTGAGGGTAAACTTCTTACCCTAGTGAAACCTTTCTCTGAAATAGTTATCTGAAGGAAGAAGAAATAAGATAGTTAACTTGGTCAAGATAGGCAGAGACAGTGAACAGGGATGAGTCATCACATTTCTTGACAGATATCTATCATTACTGCCCTTTACAGTTGGAGAAATGGAATCACGGAGAGGTGGAGTGGCACATCCAGTGTCACAGGTCAGCCCAGTGGCAAGGGCAGGAATAGAACCTCGGTCTCCTGAGTCTTGGTCCAGTGCAGTGTCCAATAGGTCAGGTGGCCTCCCACTGTCAGAACTAATGCTAGTGGAACACCATAAAGGAGAGGTCTGGGCACAGAGGAGAAACAGTCACCAGAAAC